GAACAATGAAAATGAATCGCTTCATTTTCGACGAAACAGGAACAATGAAAATGAAACGGTTCATTTTCGACGAAAGAAGAATGATGATAAAAAGAGACATCAAAATTTTCGACGAAATGAAAAAATCAATTAAGCTTTCGACGATACGAGAATCCACGATCACTTATTCATTTATTTTTCTGCCTTCTGCACATTATTGATTTTTTTATTTACTTTCACGTTTACATCAATATTCTTTTTTCGAATGTTCACAGTATATTTTTCACAGATCAAATATATCTATCAACGAAAATTATATCTTAGTTTTGTAAATCTGTCACGATGGCAATCCATTATTACAAATAAATTAAAAATAAATCATATTTTCTTATACCTGACTACTCAATTAACGCTCATCTCCTTAATAAAAATAATGAAATAACGACTTTTTATTTCTTTTATGAAAAAGAAGCATCATCATTCTTTTTTTTCGGATATTCTCTTCTCATAAAGTACTTCTATTTCAACGTTTATATATAATTTAAACAGTTATGAGCAATATTTGTTCGATATGTTTCTGCATTTATGTGTATGAATAATTTAAAAAAACATTGATTTTTGATAATTCCAATCAACATGAATACCGTATGTAATATAATAAACTGTGTTCATGGAGAATTTCTTTTCAATTCGATGTATGTAAAATAAATCTATGTGATATAATACTAAATTAAATGATATTTCGAATATCTTGATTGTCTCTCGATTGATAAAAACATGTGTCTCTAAAATTCGTGTCATCACTATGTCATCAACTTAATGATGACAAATCGGTGATGATTCCGCAGAAATTAAATGATGACAGAGTGATAATGGGAGTCTCATATCAGTAAAACAAAGCTAAATGATATATCAATGCTATCGATCTAAAACGTCAAGTTGAAATTAACAGCTATATGAAAAAAATGCCGCTGGGAATAAAAAATGGGAGATAATTAGGCTCATCGATCACTGAGATTCGTTTTTTCTTATTCTAAATGATAGTGTCTAGTCTAATTAGATTACTGCTGTTCAAATTTTACCTATAAATAGTCAGCCACATATCAGCATAGTGTTTCACATTTTCACAATCTCTTGCCAACGATCAAGCTCTATCTCGTCTCTTTGTTAAGTTACAATGCCACCAGCTATGTTCAATACAACAATAACTCATTCACTCGCTAAGCGAGCACTCATGAAAGTTAATCTTGGTGGCAGCGAACATAATCCTGTAGTTAGTGGTTCGAATAATAAACTTTATATGAATGGAGCTCGCGATTCTGATGATGAAACAACATTGGTACAGAAAGCTGGTGGCCAAGTTAGCCGGATTTTGGAGAGTGGTACTGATGTGATAATCTCTCCTGCAAAGTGGTTAAAACATATGCAGGAAAACTGGTATGCTTCTTTTATAGTTTTTTAAATCGATCCTTTGTGGAGACTGAACCATTGCGGTTATTTTTTACATATATCAAGCATATGATTAAAATCTACGCGAAACTCCCCAGTTCGTTCATCCATTGATATATTCCATAGCGAACAGAAAATAGTGAGAAAGAAAATGAAAGTCACGTATAGAGAACATAATGAGAAAGAGAATGAACAATATTGTTCGTACCAGCTGATATTCGTCGAACATGAAATATTTGTGTTAAAAGAGCAGTTAATATGAAAAAAAGATACATCTATTTATAATTTGTATGAATATTTTTAATATACTTTTAAAACATTACTTACCTCTTTGAATATATTTCTTTTCTAATAGATTAGGGTGTGGGTGTGGGTGTGGGTGTGGGTGTGGGTGTGGGTGTGGGTGTAGGTGTGGGTGCGGGTGTGGCCGGGTGGTTGACCGTGTCCGTGTCCCTGCAGGTACTGTACTCACCTGACACCCACACCCACACCCCCACACCCACACCCACACCCACACCCACA